ACCGCTGAACTGATAATGGTAATGCATATAAACAACGAAGATGTTTGCTGTATATAAATTCATGAGGTATTCATGCCATGACCAGTACGCTGATCTACTTGAAACAAACACATCACTTTATGAAACCTATGACAGTCGTCACAGAAGGGGTCAAATAGCTCACAAAGAGGAGGGATCTATTGGTTACCTCTGTTATTCGTGATTTCGAAATCACAGATATAACAATTGCTCATATCGAAGATATTTCGACTCATAGTCCTAAATAAATCATATTCACTAAGCTGAAGATGTAATCATTTACTGAATAGGAAATGTGCAATGCATGTGGACAGAATACTCAGCTGACATTATTTTGTATAATGAATTATCTAGAAATGAGAAAGTCAGCAAGAGTTAGATACATAAATTATGATCTCGTTTCATAGAGTTTTAACTTTAGAAATAACGATAGTACAACTAAACCTTAGAATTTTTAGCTCATTTGAAAGAATCTCTTCTTAAAACCACTTACTCATTTACAGTTTCCGTTTGGATTTGCATGCACATTTCGGTAAGAGATTGTCAGTGTCACATATATTCATCTACCAGGTAGATTTCAGAATAATTCTATGTGAATGTTATGTTCGTCACTAGGTACAGTTGAAGCTATTACGAGTTCACCTTAGTCGATAAACGCGAACGAAACAACTACCAGCGTCCAGATAGGCTAGCTTGAATCCCAAACTGCAAACTAGAAGACTTGATAAGCGTAGAAAGTATATTCTACAAACACCCAGCAATCACAATACAATCAAGCACACAACTCTCGTTTATTTATACATCATAGAAACGTCCTTGGGACAGTTAAGAAAATAGCACACTAAAACACACAGCAGCCAATCACAGCCACGGATTTTCCTGGTGAGAAATGAAATCTCATGGTCAACTGATCATCCCATGCTCGCAAACGTGAAATCCAATAAAAGGCATTTATCAAGCAAGTTCTGGGGATCTAACATCCCCAGCAGTAAATTGCAGTTAATTATGTTTAAATCAATAAGATTATTATAAAAAAAATTTAAAACTCTAAACTACGTTGATGATGGTTCATTCATTTCATTTCAAGTTCATTGAAGTTAATTTTACTCTTAAATACACTGTTAATCTGTTTTATTATTGATTCGTGAAATTTCTCGTTTGCATTTATTGATCAAATAATGTGCAATCAGTCATGGTGTAGATCAATCTACCAGTATTTTTTTCAAATCGAACGATGGATATTCTTGTTTGTCATATACATTTTCAGCTTTAAACGTAGTTTACATTACGGATTAACTTTAATTACACAATCAATAAAAATGAAGTATTACTGAACAGTGTTTTGTTTAAGTATGAAACTCTTTAGCAGTGTGCACTACCACTATTGTTAGGAGTCGAATCCAGGCTCATTGAGTTAAGCAGCGAATAGATCACTTTCATTATTAATGAAATATATGAATGATTGCCCGTTTTAATCATCTAATCTAAGTGTTTATTTTTAATTCCTATACATTTACTAATAGAACTGAATTGAAATCAGTGTTTCTCAACAAATGCGTCATTAAAGCTCAACAAAATATTAAGCACACAGAGCATAAAATGTGAAACTGAACCATTATTCAGATCAAAATAAAAACCAAAAATCATTTTTTTTATGTCCTAACTATCTATTGACGTAAAAATGTTCAGAAATAAAGAAACTCAATTGAATCAATAAGAGCAGCAATTGTTATCCCCATTGAAAATTATATATGGAAAAAAAACCTACTTTTGAATAGTGAACAATATACTACTGATAAATAGTTATTTTTTTTAAAAAAAATAGTAGATATGATTATTCTCTCTGTACTAGCAAATGTCTGATAATGAATTGTGAGCATAAATTAAATCACTAAAAAGGAAATGAAGTAACAGAATGTTTCTTTTTTTTTTTAAATCTACTAACATGGTGGTCATAAGTTACGTTTAATTGTCAAATGTGTTCCAATTATTGATTAGTTCATATTGTACAAGAGTGATTGTTCTAGAAAACTTTAAAACAAAAAAAATTTCGCATCATCTATTTTGTATATACTTGATCCATTCGAAAAAAATTGACTAGAACAGTTTTCAGCACAGATTGAAATACATTGAAACGATACACTGAATTGGCGAATAGTTCAAAAAATAGCTACATTATTAATTTAAAACTTATTCAGTATTTGTAATTTATAATTCATTTTTAAATTGAATTTAAGTTTTTCAGGTTTAAGCTTGAGTAGAACACTATTTAAAAAAAAATTTATTAACTTTAGGCAATTCATAGTTGTTTTTTTCCTAATGCTCATTTTTGTACTCGATGTTACTTACTGTCTCTTTTTGTTAACCTGTGATGACAATCAATTTTGAAATTGTACAAACTTTTTTTCCGAAAAAAACAACTCTATGAATAAAAAATTGTCGATATAAAGTATTGACTGTTGCAGACTATATGGTAAATATTTTAATGACATCAACTTTTTTTTTAATAATCAAAGACAACAGTCCCTAAGGAAAGTAATGGATGAAAAAGTAAAATCGATTTTACTAATTAAAATGATTTTATTTGAGTGTTTTCAATAATATGGAAGCGAATCGATATTAACCATCTAGTCTGAATGTAAAACAATTCACCAAGTTTCAGTTGACGAGGTAAGCGTTTTTTTTTATTTATTCAGTGAATAATTAATACTACGTAAGCTAAAATTAATACTGTCGTTATGATTTATTCTTTGGTACATTTTATTCACATACTTCAGTATGACTATCTTACATCATATATATCAGAAGAGTTCTATTAAACTCATTCTCTATCTTACAGTAATTGATGAATAATTCATGCATATTATAATTATATATATATATATATATATATATATATATATATATATATAGTCATCAGTTTATACTGCTTATCATATTTTTATATTCCTGTATGGTAAAAATGTCAGAAACGGATTCATGGATTGTGAAATCCATTGTTGATTGACTAACAAAATCCTCAATGCTGAAAAAATTAAAAGGTGTAACATAATAATTTGAAAGAGATGATAAGTGGATAAGATTGACTGAAATAGTAGTGAGTAGTGAGTAGGATGGATCTGAAAAAGTTTGCAAATCATCAAAACTTCATTGAAAATATAGAAAAGAAATTATTCATCTTTATTTTAATGCTTATTGAATGTGAAGTAAGTTTATTTGTAAAAGATGAAAATCTCTTATTTTCAAAAGACATAAAATGTATACTTCACTACATGGGTACCAGTTACTGTTGTTTGTATAAATTCTACCTAATCATGAGTATTGATCATTAGTTTTGCCCGTAACCTTTTTCCAATAACACTAGTACGCTGAACAGAAAGTAAGCTAACTAGTTAGTTCTTAATTCACCGAATATTTTAAGTGACTTTTAATCGCAAATGACATCTTATGATATTTTATTATCTTTTGTTAAGTGTTATTTAAATAGAGAACTGTTACGAATGCACTTAAACACTTCATTTGATTTACTTGAGTTATAACGAGTTTACCTTAGTCGGAAAACGAGAGCGAGGATCGAGGATCCGGCGACACGACATGCTACTCTAATCCGACTTTCCCAACCCTCCTATTGAGTAAAAGAAGAAAACTTGGTATGAAGTTGAACCTGTATTCTACAAGCATCCAGACAGTACGAGATCCGAATCCAGAAGAGAATCATGATCCTGGACTAGGCATCCGGGTCTGGGTCATAAAACGTTACAAATAATGCGTATTTATATAGTTAGGTCGAAAAGGAGCCAACATTGAAGCATGTGACATTGACAGTTCGGACGATCATAATATTGACTAGTAGGAATTAACCAATAGGAGTTGACCAATAGAACTAGACTTACAAATAATTACCTTAGGATATTGGATGAATATCCTCACAAGAACAAACATATTGTTCTGGCCACTGGGTTTATCAGTTAGTAAGAGTTACTCCAGAGGGTTGTATCAATAGCTCAGCGGTATGAATGCTAGTCAATCGATTAAATAGTGTTTTTCTACTTCGTCTAGCGATCAGTATTCTGTTCATTTATTTTATTAGTGGTTAAACCGTTCATCTAATGGACATATAAATAGTTTAAGGGATAATCTATTTCAAAATTAGTTGCATAGCAGTCAGACAGTATGATATCAATAACATAATGATAGAGAATGTACTTAGTTGTAACTTTGCTTTTAACTCTCCTCAAGCTTAGAATTTTTGTTCAAATGAACACTGAAGAATCACTTGACTTTCAGAAATGCTAAAATCAGAAATAGTTTTTGTAAATCGAACTTTATATATGATGAACAGTGTGATAAATTAGTTAGGCTTTTCTACAACTGACAAATGTCTCAATATCATAGCAAGAGGAATATATCAATTTATATGTTCATCCAAGTTAAAATATTTCAAGTAAGAGAGATCAGTATTTATGTGTAACTTACACTAAAGTTCACCGAAAGTTTGTTTATGTATCTAACCAGAGCACGAGTTGATTTATTGTATATCAACTCACAGTAACATTATTTATGCAAATTAGAAGGTAAGACGACTCATAATCGTAGGTAAAATCATGAAATATGAGTAAGGTAATAACTGATTCAAGTAGGTCGATGGTTATAATTGTCAATGTAATCATTTCGATTGATAATGTTCACAGCTATATTGATTAGTCTTATATGTTCGCATAAACTTTTCCTATTACATAAATATCAAATTGTAATGAAAATAACTTTAAAACTAAGTGAAGTATATATATGTGCGTTAACTCATAGCAATTGTATGTTTACTGATGACTTATTCTGAGATTCCTTGTGTAAAGCTTTACCAGATAATCATTAGATATGAAATCAGCTAAGTTAAAGGTAAAATGGTAACCTAATGATCACAACTGATTACGATCTCATCAATTCAAAATTGAACAGTATCGAAATTGCAAATTGACTTAACTGCTGGACTGTATAATGGAACACTAGTGAAGTTACTTTTGATTAACAGTTAATAACACTTAAGAAGTTGGTAAAAAAAACCCATAATAATCGCTATTATTTAGAAAAAAAATATGTAACTCCACCTCAAATACTCTAGTCCACTAGAATTGCAAAATTTACACTCATCTTATTCGGTAAGTTCACTGTCTCACAATAGATTTGCACTAAAACATTTTTCTTGACATTTTGTAGTTGAAGAAAGATTAATGGAGATTGATATGATTCTTGGTTTAAAAATGGAAAATACTGATGCGGTATAAAAGCACACTGTCGTCCACATCCTTCTTCTGTATGTATATAGGCATCGTACAGACAAATCGTACCTAAAAGTATGTCATCATTTGGATTCGCTCCTTTACAACAGATTTTAATGCCATTCTCATTGGATTTTAACTCAGGTAACCATCCATAGATACGATTTAGCTTAATTATGACACAAGGTGATCCACTGTCATATCCAAAATAATTGTTAACATTACAGGCATATGACCAATCCAAGTTGAAAACGCAACTTGTTTCAATTAATGCTCTATGAGTTAAAGCCTGAGAATCATTCTGGATTAAACAGTCACGTAAATTGTGTCCTGTGTACGAATAATATTCATACTGTGTTAGGAATGCAATAAGCATATCTTGAAAAATGAGAAAAGTATCAGGTTTACCATCCTACAAATAAAGAAATGAAATTTAAGCACAATTAAACAGTTCAAATGAATATGCAAATGTTTGTGATATATATTACACTTAACAGTGTGTTATAAGTGTTGGGATAGCCAATCGAGAAGAAAGCCACGCACATTTTGGATTGATGAACTTATCGATCAAATGCTTAAATATTTCAAGGGCAGTCGATTGATGAACTATTCGATTGATGTTCAAATATTTTAAACGACAATATCGATAATATGTATAATTGTATAAATACGCATGTTTGATTGTATATTTTTGATTCTGTTAATGAGTGTTCTCCAACGTCTTCCGTCTTCTTGTTTTTTGAAGGGTGGGAGTCTAACGTTCGGTGTTGTCATTTGTACAGTGGTTTGGCGTTACTCAAGTACAGAACATAAAAATAAGTACTAAGAGTTTAGTCTTTAACTTAACTTATATGAATAACCAAGTTAAGCCGATTATGAAACAAAGGGTAACATTCTTAAGGTCTATCGACAAAAGAAAAAGTTAGATACTTTTTCAATTGGCTACGTTCTTCAAAGAAGTACTGAATATGTGTTTGATTGTGGTGAGCGACTATTCAGCATCCGCCACACTATCGTATGACAACTTAATTCATATGCCATGGTTTGTTTACACTACTCATTTCAGTTAATCAGCGACATTCTATGACCATGTGTATGACCATGTACTTATTAGAACTCTAGAAATTACTTTCAGAAATAATTCTCAAGTAAACATATACTTATGATTGGTATAAACAGTTTAAGGAGTTCGCTGAACCTAAGGCATAACAATGTCCAGTGCTTTCTAGTTTCTGGTAGTTGTCCAGCTTCAGTCAATTTCTGGTATAAAATCTAGAATAAAAAAAATATATCTGTAACGGTTATTTTTAAAAGACTGAGACAATGCTGGCTACTGCATCTGGTAAAATACATGTAAATCAAAGACTAATTTAAAAACACTGGGTTATTACAAAATGTAGTTGGATACGAGAATCTGTCCACTAAGGTTTTTAGGAAATTTTGTATAAATCTAGTTTCTTAACAGTGAAAAATCTATCGAAAATAGTGAACGCTTCATAAACTATTCATTCTTTGGAGTATGACGCTAAAGTGACGCAAAATACTCAGACATTGGTGTTAAGACCTTCAGTTGTTTGATGTATTAAGTTCTAAACATTATGCATTACAAATCAAGTAAGTTACTGTCTACATCTAATTAGATAGTAAATATGATAATAAACTCTTTTTCTTATTTTGGCGCATTCGAAAAGATTAGTTCAATAAATAGATTATCACAGGTAATTAATTACCAGTGTTGACTTACTTTATACGCAATTAGATTCATTTCAGTGGAAACAACTGGTACAATTGACAAGCCTGGTGTATTTTGTAATGATGAATCAATTCCAGTTAAATATGGTCTATTAGCATCAATAATTTTGTATAAGAATAATTTCAGCAGGCAAATAACCAAAGAAAATAATATGACATAAAATAACAGGAAAAAGATAAATATTTGAAGTAAATCTCTACATTTACGACTTCGAACTTGTGCTGTTGTTGTCCGTGGTTGATGAAATCGATTCCAGCTTCGGTGCTTAGTGACTGCATACCTTTTTCGAAGGTAATGATGCATTTTGTAATTGAGGAATATTTTACAAATCGTTATCTATATATGCATATATATATAGATTTGTAACATTCAAAGAATTTTCATTTGATGTATAATTGGAGAGTCGAAAAACGAATCTCTAATCCAGTGGTATATATATATACATATATTTTGCACATATTGACAAAACAAATTGTGTACATTTATCGGAAAGTGGACTGAATCAACTAAAAATAAATTATCTCAATTTTCAATTCACAAAAACAATTTGAAACTATGCGAATAGATTTTTTATTGAAAATTATTTAATTTTTAAAATAAAAAATAAAATTTAAAAAAGCTATAAAATATTGATACATATATTATCATATGAACAGACTGAACAATATTTAAGTATTTTTAAAATATATAATATATTGAAAGGATTATTATTGTAAGTGAAAAAAAATGAGAACTATGAAAACACTGTCGTATTAAGATGAATTTCGAACCGAATTTTTAAAAATGAAATGGAATTGTGATTTGGATGCTAACAAACGTATGGATATTATGACATTTATGTTATGTAAGATCAATTTTTTAAAGGTTTTGTTTTTAAAAATCCCTCCATGAGATTTACATTTGTAATTTGTCTTTATTGATTCTTTCAGTTGTACATTTTCTTAATCTCTTCGATTCCATTTGAGATGATAATATGTGTATTTTATCATAGTTTCTATTTCTTTTGCCTTTAACGAGTTTCTATGTTTCTTCCTGAACTGTATTATGTTCTTTAAGCTGATACTCAGTCATGGCGACAGATATATTGATTTGTTCCTTTTTTGATTGTGTTGCTTGCATGGACTGGAGTTGTGCATTTTGATTGTGAATTGAAGCAGCCTTTCAAAATAAGAAACACTCTGTGTTATGAAGCAACCAAATACTATCTGTCGAACGAATCTGATCTATCCAGAAAGAATAGAATAACATTTATTTGTTACTGTTGATTTGAATAATTGAACAATTGTTGGTGGAATAACTGAGTGGTAGTATTGCTTAGGTAATGACGTACATTTATACTTATGATGAATATTAGAACCGTCATTTGCCCAATCACTTTGTTTTGGTTTCAACCGTGCAATAGCGCGTATCTAAACTACTTAGACAGTTATTCCTCAATCAAAACCTCAGTTTGGATAATATAATTTAAAACTTAGCATCTTTGTTATAATGACCTACAGGTGGATGAACAAACATCTTCGAAATGGTTGATAATTGCCCAACTAATAATATTGACCAACTTGAGTACCGTTGGATTTTTCCTTACATTTCTATAAGATTGCAAACGTTTAGTGGACTAATTCGAAATCAGTAGCATTGAGGTGAATGTTAAATCCGATTTGTTAAGATATATCACATTAAATAGAGGGATTCACCTTTTTACTATGGAATGAATATCAACGTTCTATCAAAATAAGCCACTAACTACTGGTGAAGGAATTTAACATACTTCACTGTTATAAATATTGCATTAAAAAAGACATAATCAAACTCTAGTATTTCAACTCGTTTTTAGAAATGTTTTTTAAAAAATAAAAAGAATACTATATTTTAATTAAAGTCTTCTATAGTAATCGCATTTAAAACATTGCGACGTATATGCTTCGAATAACCTTGTAAAAATCATTTGTGGTTAATTGATTTGCAGAATTTAATACATAAGATTTGTAAATGATTCATTAAATCCGCTTGCCAGTGATCTTCTTACAATGGGTTTAATTTCTGAAAATGTAAATTCAATTGGATTAAGCATATAACTATTACTGACTTACTTACTTACTTACTTACCTACTCACGCCTGTTACCGCCAATGGAGCATAGGCCGTCCACCAGTTCCCTCCAACCAACTATAAGGGGACAAAAATATAACCTTTACTCCCTTTTTATCAAAAACATTTTCGATAACATTGAAGACATGGATCTTTTCATTATCAAGGATAAAAATACAATTCTTAAAAATTGATTTTTGATTACATTTTTCAGTCAATTGGTCAAAAAAATAAATGAACTTATCGGATTTCAATGAACCAAAATATGTTTGAGCAAAAAGAATTTGATTTTGTGTTATTGCGGATATCAAACTTACATTAGTTCCACTTGTTGACGGAACCATGGAACTTGCTGGTTTTCCTCTTGTAGATCTTCTCAAAACCATATTAAAGGATGATTCATCAATAAAATCTTTTATGTAGGAGTCTTCTGAATTCATAAAATTTAGCGCATATATCTGTCGTTTAATTTTTACTTGATTCTGAGTTGATATTAATCAATGTATAAGGATGACTACATTTTTCATTTAGTCTATTAAATTAAGTAAATGTGTAGAATACATCTCGTAATCTATTCATTAGTTCAACAATTTTAGTACAAGATAAATTTAAAAATATATCTGATTTCATTTATATATATATATATATATATATATGAACAGATAAAATCAGCATTAAAAGTATAATTTACTACAAGTATGTTGAGTACCATTTTGAAATTAGCTTTTTTTCCACAGTTTTTTTTTGATACAGTCGATTAAATGTTGAAAATTCCTCCTCGTAGGGTTGGATTCATTACACAAGCATCTCAGAATTAACGCTGCTTTCAATTATTTATCTTTCTGAATTATACTATCTGCAATAACGTTATTATTTTTTGATTTTATCAAATAATTTCAATGTTACATTTTATTTTTTTTTTGTTGATCAACCGAAATTTTATTGCCAAATAGAAAAGTCTGATTTATTTTTTAGTAATGCTAATAATAATGATAATACTAAGAAGAAGAACTTTAACTGAACCAAAAAAGCAATTTCCAGCTATTCAAATATTGTTTTTTAATATTCAAAAATCGTTGGTTATTTTGATCTGTAATTTTTAAGCATCCCTAGATCCTTTTATTATGACTTTTTAAATGTTACTTCACTGAATGTCAACATAACTAATTTATTATATGTTTATTAAACGAACTTAGTTAAATCAAGATGGGTTAATGGATGATGAAACTTCGACTAAGAGTATAATAATCTTTGCTTACATGAATGTAAATGAAAGTAACCGGTGTCTAACATATTCGTGATGATAAGTAATCTCAGTAGGCTTTTGGTGAAAGTAAACGATTTTGAATGTCGTGCAATTGTTGTTCTCAGAAAGAAATTTTTTACAGCATCATTTAAATAGTAGAAGTATGGTTATGTAATATAACGTTAGCAAAGTATTCATAAACAAATCAACTGACTAACTGTATGAGTGTGGTTACAGTGATTAACAATTGCTCATGGATCGATCCAACCTAAGTTTAAATAAGAGCCGACTAAAAGGAGAAAGACGCAGAAGAAATAGTCAGCATAGACAGACACTTTATTTCACTAAAAGCTAATGTTCATCAAAGTCTACAATAATGTTTTTATCAACCAATACTGATAACGGTTGACTGACTCACTGCTTACTTGACCTACTTAAAATGATGTTTTAATATAAAATATACGAATTGAGTCACCATTGTTACAGATAAGGCTACTAAAAGATGTTAAGTGAACAGTTCTCAAACTTAGTAATTCATGTAACGAACATGAGTTAATTTGATGACTGATAAAATCAGGGATAACTGTACAGAAACTCACTATGAAAATTTCCAGCGTTCCATCTTCATGAACCTACCAGGAGTCGGATTGAGGACTCTGTGGGCCTGTCAAATGTTTTAACAACCAATTCGAAAAAATTATAACAATACATTTTACTTAAATTAACTAGTCATTAGACAGTAAAAACTGTACTACTAGTCTAAATTTACCGACTAAATTGTTATGTGCTATCAGATGGTGTTACATAATATCGCAGTGTAATTAAGTATTTGAAATCAATTTTCACGTAACATTAAACATATCTTTCGTACTAGATGATACTCACTAATGGCCTTTATCTCTTACTTGGTTATTTACTTTGATCCTACATGGAGTCGGTCACAGTTAAAATACCTTATTATCGAAAAGTTCAGACTGTAACACTTTATGAAATATGTCCAAGTCCCACACATGATTCTAGATTTGCACTGAAGAGAAATGCAAACAATTACGTGACTAATATATTTTTAACTATATCCATTGATCATTTAATGAGTTTTTCATTCTATTCTGAAATTTCAACTATTTAATTCGTGCCTATCAAATTTACCAATGCTACCTATCAAAACACTTAAAAAATATAACATCATTTGATATTGGTTTTGTTGAAAAATGAATTTTCAAAGCATTCATTCTAACAGTCATGTGTTCTTACCATTGAAATATTGTTTTGTTTCAGTATTAATATCATTAACTAATAATTATTTTTCAATAGAATGCAGCATTTGTAAGATAATATCATTGGTACAACTAGTTTGTCAGGCAGACAGACAGAGTTATTGTTATTTACTGCGAAAAAAAGCAGTTCTTAGAAAGGAAAGAAAATACTACAGAAGTTGAATACATCCTTTATTAAAATATGTTAAATACATGTCACATGCCTATAGTGATCAGAATAAAGTAGAGGTAGGGAGCTTACCGATCACTATAAACTAATTCATCCATCTGGTTATGATGGCCGGTTATTTCATATTAAAATAGTGATTCAATGACACCAACGTGAATAAAGTTTACAGACTGATAAGCCTGTGATACACAAATGGAGATGAAGAACGATAAACTTGCGAGAGTGAAACATGAAATACTACCTCAGTAATAGGTAATTAACAGTCTCTACATCGGCAAAGCAAGTGCTGCATTTCTACAGTTGAAAAATATCTGGAACTCCAAACAAATATCAGTCAAAACTAGAAGAGATGACCAGTGTAGCAGCAGCCTCTGCAGCAGTAGGTCTCATCATACATAAAGGAAAAAGCAAAATTCTCCGATGCAACAAAACATGCACCAACCAAATCACTCTTGATGGAGATGCTTTCGAGGACATTAACACCTTTACATATCTGAACAGCATCATCAAAGAGAAAGCTGGATCGGATGCAGATGTGAGGGCGCGGATTGGCAAAGCAAGGGCTTCATTTCCACAGTTGAAAAATATCTGGAACTCCAAACTTCAACCG